ATGTGTAGACACACCGCACCGGGTACTTCATTTACGGCCGAGTCGAGATAGGGGGAGAGGTGCAGGTCGACTCGACCTTGACAAATGGGCGGGGGCGGGAGTCTAACTGGGATAGCGCTGGGTTCGTAGGGCAGCGCGCCGCTAACCACTGCGCCACCGCTCCCCATCCGCCGCGTCCCCCCTCCCCTCCCCCCACGGAGCGCACCTCACCGCTACCGCCCCCTCATCACCACCAACCACCACCAGACCACCCCCTCACCACCAGTCCCCTCACTCCCGCCACCTTACCACCACCACCGCACCCTCACCCCCGCCACCTTGCCACCGCACCCTCACCACCGCCCCCTTACCACTGCCACCGCACCCTCACCACCACCACCACCTCCTCACCACCTCCTCACCACCACCACCACCACACCACCTCCACCACCTAACCACCCCCCCCTCACCACCACCCCCCCCTCACCACCACCCCCCCTCACCAACCCCCCCCTCACCAACCCCCCCCTCACCAACCCCCCCTCACCAACCCCCCCCTCACCAACCCCCCCCCTCACCACCCCCCCCCCACCCTCACCAACCCCCCCCTCACCAACCCCCCCTCACCAACCCCCCCCTCACCAACCCCCCCCTCACCAACCCCCCCCTCACCAACCCCCCCTCACCAACCCCCCCCTCACCAACCCCCCCTCACCACCCCCCCCTCACCAACCCCCTCACCAACCCCCCCTCACCAACCCCCCTCACCAACCCCCCCTCACCAACCCCCCCTCACCAACCCCCCCTCACCAACCCCCCCTCACCAACCCCCCCTCACCAACCCCCCCCTCACCACCACCACCACCACCACCACCTAACCACCCCCCCCCCCCCTCACCACCACCACCACCACCACCCCCCCCCTCACCACCACCACCACCCCCCCCCCCTCACCACCACCACCACCCCCCCCCCACCACCACCACCACCCCCCCCCCTCACCACCACCACCACCCCCCCCCCCTCACCACCACCACCTAACCACCCCCCCCCCCCTCACCACCACCACCTAACCACCCCCCCTCACCACCACCACCTCACCACCCCCCCCTCACCACCACCACCTCACCACCCCCCCCTCACCACCACCACCTAACCACCCCCCCCTCACCACCACCACCTAACCACCCCCCCCTCACCACCACCACCTCACCACCACCTCACCACCACCTAACCACCCCCCCTCACCACCACCACCTCACCACCACCACCACCACCACCGCCTCACCTTGAAGGGTCTGAAGAGCAGGTAGAGTTCGCGAGGGTGCGTGTCCATGGGGAGACCGCTCACGAACAGGGTTCGAACCTGCGTGGGGTCAGGCGCGAGCGGCGTTATAGGGAAACACACAGAGACAAAGATGCCCCGTGTATCTAAATGCACACACACACACCTTTAGATTCAGAATATTGAGTTGCACCGGGAGGAATCCGAGCTACAAAGCTCTTTTTCCACCGATGTCGAGTAGGGGCGGGTCAGAACACAAACGCAGTTCACATTACGATGATCATCGCTTGTGTCGTGATCGAAACGTCAGAGTTCAGTTATTTTTTAAAATTTGAACCTACGCGACTTCACCGAAAGACCCAAAGAATTTGAATTCCTGCAGTCACGAAAGCTTTAAGTCAACATTGCATCGCTAAATCTAAAAAAATAACATTTACAAATCACATTTGCAAATGTGAGCTGTATCCAGTACTAATCTTCTGCTACAGAATTTTATTTTTGAAGGAAGATTTATGGTGTTAAGGGAGGAAACACAGTTGTTCAAAAACGCTGACGCTGCAAAGACTTCGCGTCACCCCATTCCAAGTCTTCTTCTTGGGGCATTGCTCAGAGCGAGCCCCAGGGAGGCCGCTGGGGCACGCGACGCGTGGCTGGCCAGCAGCACCACGCAGAGCCGCCAGTGGCGATGTTCACACACATACACCTGTGCCCCCACACACACCTATACCCACACACCTGCACCTGTATCCACACACACACGCACGTACCTGTACCCGCGTCCACAATAACCGCCATTCGCCACTAAGTGGCGGTGACGTCACCACGACGCTTGTGCCAGGCAATGTGCACCTTGAGGCCACGTGAAGTGTCGAACGCCCGCTGGCAGGAGGTCACGGGGCAGACCCAGGTGCCACGGGTCGACTGACCGAGATGACCGCGATTACTGGCTGATGCACCACCTGTGCCCCCTACTGTACCAACTTGCTGTGCTTTAGCCACCCGGCGCTCCACTCGTTGTTGTGAGCGTCGCTCCTCCGCCCTCCGTTGTTGTTGGAGGGCGACTGCCTTCAACTGCCCAGTAGCATCCTTCACGAGCCTCCTCTAGAGGCCGATCTTGACACCGCTGGTACCAGTCATCGGCAAGTCCACTCAGCTCCATGTCCTCCTGTGCCACATCACTCCATCTCTTCTCTAGCCCGTGCCGCGCCCGTTTAGCCCCCTCGATCCGGCCGAACAAAAGCTGTTTAGGCATGCGGTGGCTGGGCATGCGGGCTACATGACCCAGCCAACGCTGCCTGCCGGAGCTCACCAATGGGACTTTGCCCAGATCTTTCAAGGATTTGTGAGCTCCTCACACAATCCAGCCTGGTTAAACCCAGGAAGGATCGTAGGCAGGCCAGCCTAAATGTTTCCCACCGGCGAAGATGGTTGGAAATATTTAGGCACACACCCACACATACACCTGTACCCACACACACACACACCTGTACCTGCGTCTGCACACACGCACCTTTACACACACACGCACTCGCCTGTCCTTCGTCTTTGGAGAGGCCATCAAATGCCCCATCGCTTTTCAAGTTCATATCGCCCCGCCGAGCCAGCAGCTGCAGCAGCAGGCAAGCAGCGCCAGGTGGTGCAACAGCGGCAGCAGCAGCAGACGGCAAGCCCACAGGTGCAAGGTTCCAGTGCAACTTTGCTCAACACTCTCGTATCTGGGGTCGCGTCTCCTCCTCCGTGCCCCAAGTGCCGTGCTCCCGTGCCCACCCACCCCGTGCCCCCCCTTGTGCCCACGTGCCCACGTGCCCACGTGCTCAGTGCCCCCCAGGAGGAGTGACCACCCCGTGACCTCGGCGCGCGCCGCGGACCCCTCGCAGTGCGACTGCGACTGGAGCAGGCGGCACGCGCGAGTCGCGTTTATAGCGGGTGGGTCACGTGATGCAATCACGACCCCCCCCACCCCCCCACGGCATTCCCATCCCCCCCCGGCATTCCCATCCCTCCCTTTCCCCTTGTCCCGATTCTCCCTCCCCCTCCACCCCCTCCCCCCAATCCCTCGTTACGCAATCGCATGTCACACACAAAGACAAAGATACCCCAAATAGCCTCAGCAGACTGTTGGGGCAAGTGCTGTTAGCGAGCGCCTATGAAGGCCGGCACGGCACACGAGGGGGTGTCCAGGACCACGCCCGACCGCCTTTGTCTCCCCCAATGGCGATGTTTACACATCACACCAGGTACCCATTTGATGCGGAGACACACCGACACACACCTACACACACCTACACCTATACACACCTATACACACACACCTACACACACCTACACACACCTACACACACACACCTACACACACCTACACACACACACCTACACACACACACCTACACACACTCCTCCACACCTACACACACACCAGGCAAGCTCACCCTCATCACTCGAGATACATCGACCCGTGCTGTGACGTCATTAATTGTGCACCCTCCGCGTGCAGGATTCACGAGGGACACGTGACCCTGGCACGTGCCGACGAGAACAAAGGACGACGACGATTCGCGCTCCACCGTCACCCGCTCCACGAATGAGCTCGGCTCATAATTTATTGTAATTGTGGCTTAATTGAGCTGCGGGGAGTGGAGAAAGCCACTTAATTGGACTGCATTGTCCACGTGATGAGAGGCACTACCCCGGTTTCTCCACAATGTCGTATCTTACAAAGCGATAGGTGTGTGCGTGAGCAGGTTTGTGGGGAGCGGTGGTATAGTGGTGAGCGCACTCCGCCACGAACCCCGGCGAATCAAGTTCCATGGTGGTCACCGGCTGCCGAAACGAGTGCTCGATGACCAACCCTAATCATGGTAGCAAATACGAATATAGAGTACGGCATATATATAATTTGTTGAAAAATCATTGAAATACACGTCTATATACATAGTAACTAAATAATAAAAGGTAGGTTTTTTTTCCACAATGAAAAATGTAATGTTAATGACAATAAAAAAGTGATTGTTCATTAAAGTAAAAGAAAAAAAATAACAGCTAGCAGAGGATGGTTTCGATCCATCGACCTCTGGGTTATGGGCCCAGCACGCTTCCGCTGCGCCACTCTGCTTGGCGAGAAACACCGCCGCACAAGTGCTATATGTTACTGACCACATTTTCACAAATCGAATGACTTCATGGTATTCTCTTGAAAGAACACTCAGAATAGGAATTATCTTCACAGTCGGTGAATAAATCGTTACATTGTGGGACAGTGAAAGATGTCAACGGCGTGTGTGGTGAAGTGAACCCTTCAACAGTGATTGATCGTGGATGATCGTGCTGTCTATTTTAATGCCGCGTGAATGATCATTGTGTAGCGAGTGGAACTTGTTTTGCTCCATTTTCATTAACTAAATTAACTTTATTTTAACTGAACTCCCTTTGTCGGTAGTGGCGTCACCGCCCAGCCCAATTTGGCGGGAATCCGTTTGAAATTCGTCACGACCGATTCCCGATTCCTAACTTACAAACAATACATTAGCGATTCGATTCCATAATATGATTATTCCTTTAATGTCATTTATAGTCTGTACTTCGTGTTTGTACGCATAAAAACAAAACTACTGAATGTACTTCATACATTTTCTAATTGCATTAATATATCAATTGTACACGCGCGGTTGGGTGCATAGGTGAGGTATAGAATCGATTCTCTTTATGCCGAAACTGAACTGGAATCGATTCGTGTTGAAGTTGTTCAATCCCGAGAGCGGCGTGGAGAGCTGGGCCCGGAGTTTAAGACCTCAGCCGAGATTATACATTAAAGACCTTAACCGAGATTATACATTAAAGACCTCAACTCTTGGGGACAAAAACTGGAAGTGATGTCGGGTGAGTGACTTCTCCCTTCGTTCGCCTCGTCTGAGGAGATTTTAAATGCTCGAAAGATGTAATTTGATTGCGGCGCGCTTGAGACAAGGCCTTCATCCAGCAGTGGACTGACTGGCCGATGCTGATGATGGCTTTAGTGTGAACCTACAATCGATAACAACAACAACAGCCGCCAAGTGGCGATGAGGTTCCCACGGCGCCTGTGCCAGGCTAGGTGCACTTTGAGGCCACGTGAAGTGTCGACCCCGCACTTGCCGTGGCTGATGCACCGCCTGTGCCCCCTTCTGTGGCAACTTTGCTGCGTTTTATCCGCCCGGCGCTCCGCTCGTTGTTGTGAGCATCGCTCCTCCACCCTCCGTTGTTGTTGTTGGAGGGCGACTGCCTCCAACTTCCCAGTAGCCTCACAGTGCACCTAGCCTGGCACTGCCCAGTAGCGTCCTTCACGAGCCTCCTCCACAGCGGCCGATCTTGACACCGCTGGTACCGGTCAACAGCAAGTCCACTCAGCTCCACGTCCTCCTGTAACCACATCGCTCCATCTCTTGTCCAGGCCGTGCCCGTCTAGCCCCCTCGATCCGGCCAGACAAGACTCGACAGCACCTCACAGCATCCCTCCTCAGCTCACAACTCCTCGCGTTTCATGTTGATGATGTCTCTAACTTGCTTATGTTCTCTTATCCACGTGTTGAACAGCTGAGAGACGTAATAGGTTGGGGAGGAGGCTTTCATCCAGCAGTGACTGCAGATGACGATGATGGCCTCAGTGTGGATCAGCAGTCAACTCGGAGTTCGCACATCGGGTTCATTCCGCCAAATTTGTTCAATTAAATTCGACTCGTTTGTTTCGCGGAGCCGTGTTGACACTGCTGCTGCTGTGGCCGAGACTGTGTGATGAGTGCCTGCAGGTGACGCTGTGCCCCCCTGTGGTGGTCTCTATGTCGGTGTTCTTCACTGGTTTTTAGAGGGGGGGCCACGTTCTCCGATTAAACACAATCAGTGTGAGGGCCGCCACACACTTAACCATTGGGGTTTGACAGCGTGGTGGTGGTGGGGGGTGGTTATCGGGGGTCGCACTAAAGGCCACCAGGGACCGCCAGTGGCCCGCGGGCCGTGCAATGAGGAACCCTGCGGCCTGTGCTGTGCTGCTGTGTGATGGTTTTGCTTGCAGGTGAAGCTGTGATGTTGGAAATGGTCTACGCTGTTGGGTGCTGTGCTGCTGTTCGTTGTTTTTGCCCGCAGGTGGAGGCTGTGATGATAGTGATCGTCTGAGCTGGCCATTACGTTTGGTTGCTGTTTGAGTTGTTCGGTGCAACCTTCTTGAATTGTCGTCTCACTTCCAATGTCGCCTTGCAGGAGAGGCCGTGTCGGCAGTGGTGATGGTGGAGAGCGTGGAGGACCTGGAGCTGCTGGTGAGGACCAAGGTGGACGCGCTGAGGCTGGCGCTGCAGATCCGAGATGTGGACGGTGAAGAAATACGCAATCGCAGCTCGCCTCCTCGCAACACACCACCTCCTCACAACTCACCTCTCAGCTCCCACCTCACCTCTCAGCTCCCACCTCACCTCTCGCTTCCCACCTCACCACTCGGCTCCCACCTCACCTCTCAGCTCCCACCTCACCACTCAGCTCCCACCTCACCACTCAGCTCCCACCTCACCACTCAGCTCCCACCTCACCACTCAGCTCCCACCTCACCACTCAGCTCCCACCTCACCACTCAGCTCCCACCTCACCACTCAGCTCCCACCTCACCTCTCAGCTCCCACCTCACCACTCAGCTCCCACCTCACCACTCAGCTCCCACCTCACCACTCAGCTCCCACCTCACCACTCAGCTCCCACCTCACCTCTCAGCTCCCACCTCATCTCTCAGCTCCCACCTCATCTCTCAGCTCCCACCTCATCTCTCAGCTCCCACCTCTCCTCTCAGCTCCCACCTCAGCTCCCACCTCACCTATCAGCTCCCACCTCACCTCTCAGCTCCCACCTCATCTCTCAGCTCCCACCTCTCCTCTCAGCTCCCACCTCAGCTCCCACCTCACCTCTCAGCTCCCACCTCATCTCTCAGCTCCCACCTCATCTCTCAGCTCCCACCTCATCTCTCAGCTCCCACCTCTCCTCTCAGCTCCCACCTCAGCTCCCACCTCACCTATCAGCTCCCACCTCACCTCTCAGCTCCCACCTCATCTCTCAGCTCCCACCTCTCCTCTCAGCTCCCACCTCAGCTCCCACCTCACCTCTCAGCTCCCACCTCATCTCTCAGCTCCCACCTCAGCTCCCACCTCTCCTCTCAGCTCCCACCTCATCTCTCAGCTCCCACCTCACCTCTCAGCTCCCACCTCATCTCTCAGCTCCCACCTCACCTCTCAGCTCCCACCTCATCTCTCAGCTCCCACCTCACCTCTCAGCTCCCACCTCAGCTCCCACCTCACCTCTCAGCTCCCACCTCATCTCTCAGCTCCCACCTCATCTCTCAGCTCCCACCTCATCTCTCAGCTCCCACCTCAGCTCCCACCTCTCCTCTCAGCTCCCACCTCATCTCTCAGCTCCCACCTCACCTCTCAGCTCCCACCTCATCTCTCAGCTCCCACCTCACCTCTCAGCTCCCACCTCATCTCTCAGCTCCCACCTCAGCTCCCACCTCACCTCTCAGCTCCCACCTCAGCTCTCAGCTCCCACCTCAGCTCCCACCTCTCCTCTCAGCTCCCACCTCAGCTCCCACCTCAGCTCCCAGCTCACGTCTCTGCACCAAATGTCTCTTTACAGCTCTTCCTCAAACCTTGCAGCACGCCACACAACTGCTTACACCTCACTGCTCATTTGACCTCCTCACAGCTCATTGCTGCTCCTCACACTTGTTTACACCTTACAGGTCCTTACCTTCCCACAGCTCCTTACACTTCAGCTCCTCACGCCTCCACCTCAAGGAGCTCTTAGCAGCTCCGTTCACCTCCTCACAGCTCTGTACTCCTCACACAGCTCCTTACACCTCCCAGCTTTTCAACACCTCATCACAGCTTTCCTCGTTGTGTGCCCACAGCGGATGACGAGTGGCTAGTGCGCATGCTGCACAGCGTGGAGTCCGAGCTGCAGGAAGCTGAGGCACTTGTGCAGGAGATGCAGCAGCTGCAGAAGCAGCGAAACCAGGTTGCGCTCGAAGTGCAGGTGAGAGCTCTTGTCGCTGGCCCTCTAGTATTCACGAACAGCACTTGCTGTGTGGCTGTACAGGAGACCTTCATGTGTAGGGGAGCGGTAGTGCAGTGGTTGGCACACTCCGCTATGAACCCAGTGACCCGAGTTCGATTCTTGTTTATGGCCAACATCGGTCCTCACAACCTCCCCTTGGTCGACTTGGCCTTAACATCTTGCCGTGGTGATGAGATGTTAACTACCTCACCTGGTGTACAGGAGGTTTTGGGTTCGATCCCAACCCTGACGCCTGCTGTATATTTGGAGTTTGCATGTTCTCCCCATGGTCGTGTCCTCCGGTTTTTCCCTCCACATTTTATAAACATGCGTTTAGAGTATTTGACTTCTATATACATGTCCACATGATAAGCCACTTTGTTGAGCTATTATTTGTGGCCAGGTTGCTTCTGAAACAGAGCTATATAGCTCATTGGGCTTTACTTTGTGAAATAAAAATTGTAGTATAGTAAATAGACTCAGCTTTAAATGAGTACCTGCTGCGGTGCGTAAAAACCAGCATTGCGCTATGTTGGCCTTCAAAGCTGCTCGCTAACAGCACTTTCCGCAACGGTTTGCTACAACTATGGGGGGGGGTCGTTGTGTGCATGTGTATGTGGTCGCAAGGCGGTGATGGCGCAAATCACCAGGAATAACGAATCGCTGCAGCACATGCTTGAGAATCTGCCAAAGCACCTGCCCGGGAAGCAGCCTCCGCTAGTGGCCAGGTGAGGGAGACACCTGTGTGAGGGTTAGCTCTGTACGCGTGGGAGACGCATGACCCTTGGCCTACACTTGTGTATGCAAGTATGTATGTGCCTTGCTGATCTCGTCAAGGAGCATAAACCATCACGCAAACTCCAGTCATCATCGCAACAGCTTTTGGTTAACTATCGAACAAAGACGGTCACTGCATGACGCACTTTCAGATGTGCTTCTGCGGCCGTCTGGAACGTTCTTGCAATATTAGGAAGCCACTGGAGCTATGCACTTTTAAATCTAGATTAAAACTAATGTCTTTATAACTGCTTTATGTGTTTTGTTTGTTGTCCTTCACCCGCACCTCCGATTGAGCACGGTTGGCTACATACAGTGCGAAAGAAGTTCAACATACACATCCAGACAGCCCTTTGTCAATCCATTGCTATTTGAGGGCCTCCCCATGTGTCAGTCGTGGTGATTGTTTGACCATACTTCAACCACGCTGGTCAGTGTTCTTCTGTCACCGCAAGCGTCACTCACATTGTTTACATTTATCATGGATCGGAGAACGTAAGCAGTTCGATGAAAGTTGCTTCGCAAGACTGAGGAGATATAACGATGGCCTTTAGGAGGCCTTCATCCAGCAGTGAATAGATAATCATGGCGGATGATGATGATGATGACATTTTGATTTAGGGACACACCAAACAGTGAGTGGCTTGCATCATCCATTCAGTGACACTCTGATTTCTGAAAGCCACTAACGCACGTTTTACCTCGCCGTGACTCTTGGCACTATCAGCATGCAGGCCAGTGGTGATCCCCATGTCACTGGGGCCCAAGGGGGACCGCTGTTGGGGCCCCAAGCGGGGGTCCAGGCGACCGCTGGGGCCCCGTTGCAACCCGCACAGCCTCCCAAGAAGGAGCGACCGCCGCCCCCCCCGATCCCCGCAATCAACATCCTCACCGTGAGCGAGTTCGAGGCAGTGCCAGCGTGAGTTTCCCCACCTCCCCCTCACCCCTGCCCAGGTTCCTCTGGATCCCTCGGGGTCCCCAGGAACCTCGCAGGCAGCCCTAGACTGCGAATCCTTGCGGGCCCCCCTGCGTGAGAGTGCAACTGTTGTCTGACATTATCGAGAAGTAGCTGGTCGCCTAAAAAGTATTGACACGACTGAGTACAAGAAGAGTGCCATTCAAAACAAATTACTGTTGTCGATGTGAATGAAGAACACACGGTCGTCTTGGTCCGTTAACCGCCAACACCTGGGTCTTACCCGTGCGCTACAAGCAAGCCTTCAACACTTCACGTGACCTCAAAGCGCACCCAGCCTGGCACAAGCGTCGTGTTGGTGTCACCATCACTTCGTGTCGCACAGCGGCTGTAGTTGTCGCGTGTAGACATTCGTGTGTGTGGTTTTTATCCTCGCATATAGTAATACGATTAGGGGCAAAATGCCAATGTCTGAGGTCTGTTAGCCACAAGAAGGCTTCAGGAGAGAGTTTGTGAAGTTTTTCTATTCCTCTTCCGCATACTCTCGTGGTTTACTACAGTGCGTGTGGTACGACTGTGGTATGACTGGAGTAACAGCCACCTGTGTATGCGTTGTCTATCTGTGCGTGTGCTATGTCTGTGCAGTGGCAAACAACAGCTGTTGTTGCTCATCATTTATTCCTCGATCTCTTGCATCACACGAGAATGGAACGAGTCCCGAAGCACCGGCGTTATTCAGAAGCAGGATTGAACCGAGCACTGCACGTGGGTAGTAGCAATCGTGAACTGAGGCCCTTTATTGTTAGTGATGACTCGGTCTCGGGCTTTGCTCTGGTTCAACTGAGCCGGTTCAAATCATGCGTTTATCTTGACTGCTCCGTGCATGATCTCAGCCACGATCGGGATTTCCATGAGCGGAGTGAGCCCAAGCCATGGCTGAGCGCGAGCGTTGGAGATCAAACCAGAGGCGAGCCACGGCCAAGAACACGGCCCCTTTAGAATCACGGCAGGTTAATTCGAGGTGACGAATTGCATTGTATACACCGGATAAACAACACACAGAACAACAACAACGCATGCACAAGGACGTCATCGTGTGTGCCGCAGGTACCTGAAGGGCCGCATGGCGTACGAGCAGGTGAACGGCACCGTGCACGAGATAAACTGCGCGCTCGCCTCCAAGTACACGCTGCTGCGGCAGCCGAAGCGCTCGCTCGGGGAGGCTGCCGTCAAGCGGCATCGTGTCTACCGCGAGCAGGAGACCCCGCACACCAAAGGTGGCTTGGCCAGCGTACCCATACCCCCCCCCCCCCACTGCTGCTCTTCACCGCCGGCCTACTGGCGCCACGCATAACCAGAAAGGCGGTAGCTCGGGGAGTACATTTTCAATCGGATTGGGGCACCAGCACACGCTATCCGACTACATTTTCGAAGGTTGCTTCATCTGCAATGTCCACTTTGAGGCAGGCACCGCGTCTTCATGGTCAATGCCCCCGCGTCTTCATGGTCAATGCCCCCGCGTCTTCATGGTCAATGCCCCCGCGTCTTCATGGTCAATGCCCCCGCGTCTTCATGGTCAATGCCCCCGCGTCTTCATGGTCAATGCCCCCGCATCTTCATGGTTAATGCCCCCGCGTCTTCATGGTCAATGCCCCCGCATCTTCATGGTCAATGCCCCCGCGTCTTCATGGTCAATGCCCCCGCATCTTCATGGTCAATGCCCCCGCGAGTATGAACGTGGGCAACCGCGGGGCACGAACTGCGAGCAAATGCAACGAGTGGCACAAGCGCCACTGTTTGGTGATGCCGCGGCCCAATCATCAAGTCGCGTGTTCTATTTGTCAGAAACGCTTGCTCCACACTTATCCAGGAGGTCGCTCATTCAATCCCCACCCTGACGCCAGAATATTTGGAGTTGGCGTGTCTCTCTCCTCCTGGTGGTTGTGTGGATTTTTCTCCGGGTCCTCTGGTTTTTCCTTCCCAAATTTAGAAACATGTATTTGGAATATTTGGCTGCTATAAATTTCCACAAGATAATCCACTTGATTGAGCTATCATTCGTGATAGCCAGGTCGCTTTTAACAAATAGCTATAATAAACGTTTTTGGGTCAGATCGCGTTATTTATAAATGTGTCGTAACCCTCCACCACCCGACACGGCCAATCAGCAAAAAAAGTGTCACGTTGACAAAAGTGACAAATAGTTCACTACTTTAGCCCATCGATGTGTTGAAGAGTGAATCCACAACATTTACAATTTTTGAGTACGACGTTTCGCTGGTAATTACATCCAGCATCATCAGGCAATTCGCCAGAATAATATTGGTCGCGAAAGCCTACGTGTTAATTCTAGATTTGAACTTGATGCAGTAATTTTAGCTGCGAGGGTCCCACCTGATGACGGAGACTTGTGTTGCCTCCGAAACGTCGTGATTTATTATTTTATTTCTATTATTACTTCTATTTTTATTTTTTACCTACGTGACTTTGCCGAAAAAGCCTAAGAGTACCTACGTGTTGAGTTTTTGCTTGACGAATTGTCGGAAAGTTGACGGTAGTGACAGCCATGCGACGGTGCCCCCCCCCCCCACCAGGCCACAGCTTCTTCGTGGAGAACGACCTGCGCGAGAACTCGAAGCTGCGCGTGGACAAGCGCCTCTTCAACCTGCTGGGCGTGCTGCGCCACTGCCAGCGCCTGCGCGAGGTGCGCGGGGGCGGGCTCACGCGCTACGTGGTGCTCTGAGCACTGCCGGCGCCACTGCCGCTTGTCCCGAACCCCCACACGCTCGCCCCCAAGGTGGTCGGGCCTTTGTCGTGCTGGCGCCGGTGGAGGTTTCGCGACCGCCGAGGTGGCTGCCTCGTGCGGGCTGCCGCTGTGTTCGTGCTTCCTGTGAGATTATTGCTGTCCCTTTGATCGTCCCTCTTATCTGCTGCCTCCTAAAAAAATATATTGTGCGAATAACGAATAACGTGGTGGTTGGGCGTCCTCATTTCTCTTGGCTTAAGCGTCGCACTTGTCCAACACGTCGCTGGAAAAAAACGAGTGACCATCTTCTCTATTGTTTGATTTCGGGCGTCCTTCCAAACCTCCACATACAATTCACAACAGGGCGAGGTTCATTATCTTTGCCAACCCCCCCAAAGGGGTGTGCGCATGGAGGTCCAATACAGCAATGGCTGTTGTTGCACTGCCCTCTGCTGGCGACAAAGCCCGCATCTATATCTATTAAAGGGACATTTGTGAATGTGTCTGTTCGAAATGTTGAGCATACTTCCCGACATGCATCAAACTTGAAATTTGGCATGTGGGTAGCTTCCAGACTACACAATGCAAAAAAGTATAAAAAAAAGACTTTTGTATTTTGGGGGGCGGGAGGAGGGCGCAATAATGGATATATTTTTCACGGAAAGTGAGTGGTGACGTCACATCTGTGATGTTACCCGCATGCGGCACGTGACTTTACCGAAAAAAACTAAGAATATGAACCCTCCACGTAGGCCGTGTATTAATCCAAGACAAGAATCCAAGTCTCGGGCGAAGCCGGGTAGTAAAGCTAGTTTTGTATATAATGTAAGTTTGTGTATTAATAAACTTGAATGTTGGTTTTGTGAAAGTTAGGTCCTTGTGTGTGGTGTGGTGATAATGATGATGGTGGCGAGGCGAGAACAGTTCAGGCATAATTGTTGTTGATGGTAATACGAGTGATGACCATGAAGTGGAGATCTGTCTCTTGAATATTTGTTTTGCACCATACGCAGCCGACTGTGCTCGGTGGTGGTGGTGGTGGGATCGGGCGCATTCCCGATGATTTGGACAAGTGCAACAGTCGCCCTCGTCTCCAGTCTAAATGCGAATGTAGCCATCCCCTTCAATTGCAATGAACGGAAGCCCGACGTCTTTACCGCACGCGGTGCGCCGTCTTCCACTCTGTCCACGCGGTGGCGCCGCGCGCCTGAGCCCAGTCCCTGGGTCACGGCAGCTCCCACGTGACTTGCCAAGCCCCAGACCCTTCGCGACCCACCGCAGTCCCGCCTATCCATCCTCATCAGCCACAGTCCAGTCCACTGTTGGGTGAAGGCCTCATCCAAGCTGCAACCACCCCTCGTGATCAGACGATGTAACCACCCAGCACAGGAGCCAGATTCATCGCTCTCCGCATTAGGTGTTCTGGTCGCACTCCGTCTTCGGTCTGCCATTCCGTTGTTAGTCTCAACCATGGCGTGGCCTTGTCCCATGCCCACTTCTCGAATCCTAGTGTTTTTTTCCCGGCTCGACGCTATTCCATGTTTACAAATCGTAATTCACAAGTCACTCATACACTGCACGCGCCAAATGATTGTCCAGTTGGACGTGTTTGACAATCACCTGGCGTGTGCAACGTGCAATGACCATTGAGACTGCCTCGCTGAAGTTTGCTGGTAAAATTGAGTCTGCTAAACGACTTTTCAGTCGAAGGAGCATATTATTTCTGGAAAAACCAGCGTGAAATGAAACCCGAGATTTAATTTACATGAGAACAGATTGCACACACGGATCCTTTCCCCGAAACGTCGTTGAATATTTATTTTCCTTTCATTGCAGTGTTATTGGAAAACATGTTATTGGGTCCTTGTTCGCTCTACCTATGCACCACGACCGACACAGCATCACACTTTTCACGTGTGCTCCAACGGAGAAGACCAACACGTGCTGTGTGGCTCGTCAGAAATGGAGATTGAGGACATTTTATACCGAGGAATAACCCCCATTTCAGGCCTAATGGACCTAGGAGTGTTCTTGTTGCCGTGTGATGGCCCTCGAGTAACACGCGCGTGTGTGCACTGCAGTTCTAAAAATTCTGTTAGCGAGCACCTATGGGTGGATAACACCACGCCCGGCCGCCTTTGCCTTCCGAGTGGCGATGTTTACACAGGTACTCATTTGAGGCTCGCTCGCCCGAGGGGAGGCCCATGACTGGTTGAGATAGTCGGCATCGGTGTTGGTCGTGAGCGGGAATCGAACTCGAGTCGCCGGGTTCGTAGTGCAGAGCGCTAACCGCTGCACCACCGCTCCCCACTGCACCGCAGTCCACTATCCACGCGCAGAGCAGATGCCCCCTGGCCTGGTGTCACCTGGCATCACGGTAAGCCGCGTGTGTGTGTGTGCACAAACACAGGTGCGTTGGCTTATCGTCGTGTGTACACAGGTGTGTTATTCCTGGGCGTCTGTGCTCTACATACTCGGGTGTGCGGCGTGAAATAACAGACGAGCGTTGTCCGGCATCTCCACGTGAAGCACCAACGAGGCTTTAGGGGCCATGTAACCCAGCAAGCCATTGTCAACCGAAGGTCTTTTTTCCCCTGTTCATCCCAACAGCGTCTGTTTCAAAGTAAACCCTGAACCGGTTTCCACTTCTGCGAGTCTCATCAAATTAAGTGTGATAAACGTATCAGCTGTTGGATGTGGCCCAAATGATAAATGTGAAGGCATGGTTTGTTTTACATGGGGTTCACTGACATGTTCAAGCCACTGCTGGATGAGGGCCTTCCCATGCCGCGGTGCGGTTCGTGATTATTTATTTGACCATACTTCACCGCTCTGGTTAGCGGGGCTTGGTGAAGGCGTGGGGCATAGGATGCGAGAAGCATAGCGGTGTGCAGTACAACAATGGAACGCTACGCACGTGCCCACAACGACGATGTTCCCTGCACAATTGGCGGCCGCTCGTCCAGAACCTGTCCAGGATAAAGCCCCGCTTGGCCTCCCGAGTTGTGACGAGTTTGGGGGGCGCTTTCCGGCCGTCCATAAATGACGTCACGCACCTAGGGGGAGGGGTGTAGACGATGTGTAACGAGGGGGGGGGGGGTGAGAAATGTGACGTCACATCAAAATGCGCAACTTTAAATAAATATAGACAACACGTTCTACTTAATTAAATATACTTTTTAATAAATGTTTTCTCCTACAACATCAGAGTGCAGCGCCACATTAAATACGCACTACGATGACAATAGTTTAAAGCGATTTGAAGCATGTTTTATTTTTGGGGGGGGTGCAGAGCTTTGTGACGTCATATTTGAGGGGGGGGTCTGACTTTTTGTGACGATGGGAGGGGGTGGGGTCAAAAATCGCGTGACGTCATTTATGAACGGCCCCACAGGCTGATAACCCCATTCAACCCCCCTCCTTCCCTGCCTACCCCGTAACTCCGTTACCGAAGAATTGACCCCAATTCACCTCCCCCGTGGACTCCCCACGACCACTTCTTATCGTGTCGCGTGGCTGTCGGCTCCAGGTACAGCTGTGTCACGTGACCCCCCCCCCCCACGTCTCTCACCTTCCCCAACCCCACCGCCCCGCGTGGGTCTCAGGGTCACGTGGCGAGACCCCCCGGCGCGTGAAGAGGGAGAGGCGTGGGAAGGTGACGACTGCTCCGCGTGGGAAACCACTGAGACAATGAGAGTCGCGACTGCGTTGGGTGCCCTGGGCTCAGACTCATTACCCACCCACGCTCATTGACTGTTACCTGCTCACAATGCGCTGCCCAACATCAGCAGCAACAACAGCAGCAACAACAACAGCAGCAGCAACATCAGCAGCAGCAACAACAGCAGCAAGTATTTGTTTAAAGCACGCGCACTCTGGGCCGGTTTCTACATTTGGGTCTCATCAATGGCCAGGATCAACGGCGGCGTGGTGGATTTCCGCAAATATGCCCGACTGTGAGGGCGGGCACAAGCCGGCGTGAGAAGGTTAAACGTTGAGTTTTATAAGAGCACCACGGGGTGACCAGCCCCCCCCCATCCCCCACCCAGCCCCACCCTCCCCACCCAGCCCCTCCCCACCCTTCTCACCCCTCCCCACCCTCCTCACCCAGCCCCTCCCCACCCTGCCCCACCCTCCCCACCCAGCCCCTCCCCACCCTCCCCGCCCAGCCCCCTACCCACCCAGCCCCTCCCTGCACGACGGACGGACCCAATAATCCCTGTGGGCTGGTGTAACCAGGAGGTTCCTACCAGTACAATATCATCCAGCTGTATGTGTAGCAGCAAGACAACTCTGCAGCGTTTCGACCCTCAGGTGTTTCTGCTGACGAGACCCAGATTATTGCCGAGTCAACGACACGTCCGCGGTCTCTTATTGAAGAGGCCCAGAATGTCAAAACCAGCAAAAATGTGCTTCTAGAGACATGCTGATGGACGATATTGGTCCGGAGAGACCGATAGACCGATGAGCTGAAGCGCACCGCGTTGATCAATGTGCAGGCGGAGGAGCTCTCGAGATTGGGACTCGGGGAGAGGACGAGAGATGAAAGGGGAGAATTGGAGAGACGAGGAAACGCACGGAGAGAGGCTGGGGAAGAGGCAGGGACGTGGGAATGCGTGAGGACACAGGGGAGGGAGAGACACGCGGAGTTGAAAGAGACAGAGAGACATGAGTGGGGAGAGACAGACACAGACACATCGGGTCGTAAATTAACACGCGCGTGCGTGCGTGTTGAAAACACGCGCTGGGAATGTTAAAGGCTGCTTCTGCTGCTGGGCACTTTACGTCATCATAATTTACGTGTGTGTGTGTGCCCGTGTGTGTGCCCGTGTGTGTGCGCGTGTGTGTGTGCCCGTGTGTGTGTGTGTGCCCGTGTGTGTGTGTGCCCGTGTGTGTGTGCCCGTGTGTGTGTGCCCGTGTGTGCCCGTGTGTGTGTGTGTGTCCGTGTGTGTGCCCGTGCGTGTGTGTGTGCGTGTGTGCCCGTGTGTGTGCCCGTGTGTGTGTGTATGCCCGTGTGTGTGTGTGTGTGTCCGTGTGCCCGTGTGTGTGCCTGTGTGTGTGTGTGTGCCCGTGTGTGTGTGTGCCCGTGTGTGTGTGCCCGTGTGTGTGTGCCCGTGTGTGTGCCCGTGTGTGTGTGTATGCCCGTGTGTGTGTGTATGCCCGTGTGTGTGTGTGTGCGTGTGTGTGTGTCCGTGTGTGTGTGTGTGTCCGTGTGTGTGTCCGTGTGTGGGAAGCGGTAGTGTAGTGGTTGAGCGCCCTATGCAACGAGCCCTGCGACGCGAGTTCGATTCCCGCGCACGGCCAACACCAGTGACGATTATGTGAACCGGTCCTGGACCTCCCCTAGGTCTAATCAGCCTCAAATGAGTACCTGGTGGTGATGTGTAAAAACATCGCCACTAGGGAAACAAAGGCGGTCGGACGTGGTGCTGGCCACCCACCCCTCGTGTGCCGTTCCGGACTTCATAGGTGCTCGCTAACAGCACTTGCCCCTACAGTCTGTTAAGGCTACACGGGCTGGCTCTGTATGTTGTGTGCGTGTTAAACTCTTGCGAGTGCGGAGTTGGTTTTTTTTTCCCTCCAGGAACCTCTCTTAAAAACGTCACCCAAGCGACGCGGTCCGCTTCTAAACAAATACAACCCCGAGCCAAGGCCCCCCCCCCACCTCCTCCAGGAAACGAATCTTGAGGCCAGGTGAACATTTCCGCACGAAACAAATGCAGCCGATTGTGAACATCACAAGAAGAGACGGCAGGAGATTGGGAAGGCATTCGCCAAGTAGCAGGGGAGTGGCCCTGGCTGATCCTGATGATTGTTGTGCGGAGCACAATTCACCGCTGTATGAAAGTGACGACGTT